GGCGTGGTTGCTGCTGGCGCGGGCGCCGGGAGCCGCGGGGTCCCCAAGCAGCCCCCGGAGACCGCGCAGCTACCCGCACCTGGAGGGCGATGTGCGCTGGCGACGCCTCTTCTCCTCCACCCACTTCTTTCTGCGCGTGGACCCCAGCGGCCGCGTGCAGGGCACCCGCTGGCGCCACACCCCTGACAGTGAGTCGCGGGGGCGCTGTCCCGGACAGGGGTCGGGGGAGGGGGTACAGGGCGAAGAGGCAGACCGTAAGAATGGCAGCAGTAATCGTCAGGATGAGCCAGCCCGGCCTCTCCCAGGCGCCCGGAGGGTCCCGGGGGCTACCCTGGTTGTGTGGCATAAGCCAAGTGATCTGCCTCTGGGGCCTCACTCTCCTCAGCTGTAAAATGGGCCCAGCCCAAGTGGTCACGGAGCATGCGCCCGCCTCCAGGCCTGGCTGGGTAGCGGAGAAGGGTCTTTGCAGAATCATTGAGTTTGGGGTCAGTGGGCCCCTTTACAGAGGGGAAACCGAGGCCCCAGGAAGGGCCCCAGTGGGCCCAGTTACATAATGCAGGGGGTGCAGAACTGGGGTCTGAACTGGACTCCCCACAATGCAAAACAAAACTCAAGACCTGTCTGGGTTGCGGACCCCTCTGTTTCTTCCCGGGAAACTGAGGCAGCGAGGGAAAGCGACCTGCCCAGGTCACACCGCCAGAGGTGTGCTGTCGCTGGGGCTCCCTGATACGCCCGAACCTCACCCAGCTGGAGTCAGTGTCCGTGCTGCCCCACCCAGTAAACAATAGGCGCTCAATAAGTATCTATGGAATGTGTGAGGCAAGAGGACAGAGACGATGAGGCCAGGGACAGCTGGGAGGCTGGGGCAGTCGGCGACCCCGCGGGCCTGTCTCAGTCCGCCCGCAGCCCCGAGGTCCATGCAGGGGGCTCTGGGGCCAAGCATTTCACTGGCCACTGCCTGGAAATCCTCCATCAGGGCAGACGGTCGCCCCTGCCCTGTCAGCCGCTTTCATCTGGGGCTCCCAAGGCCCTCATTAGAGGCTCACCAGACCAGGGCAATGACAGGGGACTGGCTGGGCCGGTCCACTGGTGGCGGGCATGGCTAGGCAGGGTGGCCTCGGGCTGGGGGTGAGGCCAGGTTCTGCTGGGTGACTTGGGACAGTCGCTACTTCTTTCTGAGCCTTGGTTTCCCCATCTGGGCAGTGATGGGGGTGGCGGATGGTCGATGGCTCTGTGCCATCATTAATTGATTCAGTGGTTATTAATCAGGCACCTCTCGTTTGTTGTGCTGGGCATGGGCGACCAGGAGAGTCCACCTTCATGGGGTTCCAGAACAGAGAACAGTAAAGCCATCAGACAAGGGAACAAGTAACGTGATCATTTCCGAGGGGACCCTGTGGCGTGCAAAGGAAATGACAATGGCAATGTAAGGGAGGTGACGGGGGGTCGCCCTGCCCGGGAGGTCGGGAAGGGGCCTCTCCGAGGAGGCGCGCTTGCGTCGAGCTTCGTACAGACACACGGAGCTAACCCTGCACAAGATGGCCAGGGGCCTGGCCGAGGCAACAGCAGTGCAAGGTCATGAGGTGAGCTCTCTGTCGCCTCAGGCGTCCAAGGCCGGACTGAAGGGCTCGGGGCAAGGCCTTGACTCCGGGTTAGGCCTCAGTGCATGGGTGGGGCTGAGGGTGTGTGTGGCTCCTAGCTTGTCCTCAGTTCTGCTTCTCTGGGCAGGAAACACCAGCCCAGAACTGGGCGGGGCTTGCCCAGGGTCACCTACTGACAGACGGGGGCCTGAAGCTGGATCCGCCACTCTTAGGGCCTCGGTTTCCCCCTCGGTCGGCCTTTCGCCTGTACCTGCTGTGTGGGCTAAGTGGGGTATGGTGCGTGGCACTGTAAACACGTCGTGCCGACCCCCGGGCCTTTGCCTGGGCCGACGTCCTGTCTGGGGTGCTGTCTCCCCATCATCGTGAGGCTACAGCTGGCCAAGCTGTCGGCTTGGGAGACCACACAGGCTCACGGTCACCGTTCCTCATTACTTGCTCTTACCGAAATCAGCAGCTCGCCAGGGCAGGCGCCCCCTGCTCCAGCTCAGTTTTCTTGCCCCTCACCTGACCAGGGCCCTCCCCTACTCCATAGCTTGCCGTGGCTCCCCAGTGCTCTCCAGAGAAAGCCAGATCCCCCCAACTTATGTCCTCCAGTCCTCAGGGAAGCTCTGGCAGGGCCTATGTGGTTCCCAGTGCGTCCCCACACCCAGCACAGGGTCAGGCACACAGCTGGTGTTTGGTGAACGTCACTGCATGAATGAGTGAATGCATGCATGCTGGCATGTGTGGGGTGCACACGGCGCCCCGGGCCCTGACCGAGCCCTTCCCCGCAGGTGTCATTGAGATCCGCTCCATCCGAGTGGGGGTCGTGGCCCTGAGGGCCGTGCACACCGGCTTCTTTGTGGCCATGAGCCGCAGGGGCCACCTCTACGGGTCGGTGAGTGCTCGGCAGGGGCGGCGGGCGCTGGTGGGAGGCGTGGGCCCAGTGGCCACCTGACACCCTTGACCCCCCGCCAGCGGGTCTACAGCGCCCACTGCAGGTTCCGGGAGCGCATCGAGGAGAACGGCTACAACACCTACGCCTCGCTCCGCTGGCGTCAGCGCGGCCGGCCCATGTTCCTGGCGCTGGACGGGCGAGGAGCCCCACGGCGCGGTGACCGGACACGGCGGCACCACCTGTCCACCCACTTCCTGCCCGTCCTGGTCTCCTGAGGCCCTGAGGGGCCATGAGGAACGGCCCGACAAGATTCCAGAAGATGCCTGGGCAGGCGGCCAGGAGCCAGAGGCTGGGGGAGGCCCAGGCCATGGCCAGGCCGCGTCTGGTTGCTCGTTCCTTCCCCGGGCATTGGCTGCCTGTGTGCCCAGCACTGGGGACCCCCCAGAGGACCACCCCCCGACACGGCCTGGCCCTCAAGCAGCTCTTACCTGAGTCTGAGGGGGCCGGACACCGAGCTGAGCAGGGGCTGCCAGTGTCCAGTCATGAGCTAGGGGGTGAGGCAGCCCAGACAGGGCACCTCCTGGGCTGGGAACTAAAAGATTCGGTCAGGTGGTGGCCACAAGGTCTGGAAAGGACACTCGGGGCAGGGCACAGCAGGCAGCGAGCAGGGGACCTGGGGCGGCCAGGGGCGCCGCAGACATGCCATGGGGTGACAAGTCCTGGCCTTGGCACTCGTGGACTTGTTTCCTCATCTGGCAGATAGACTTTGCAGGTGATTAAATCAAGGCCCCCCGAGATGGGGGGCCCTCACAGGGCCCTCGTAGGAGGGAGGCAGGAGGGTCACAGAAAGGTGGTCGGGGCTGTGTTGCTGGCTGTGATGAGGGGGAAGGGGCCACGCTCCAGGGACCAGCCCTGCCCACACCTGATTTAGCCCCGTGAGACCCGTGTCGGACTCCCAACTCCAGGACTGAGAATAAATGCATGGTTTAAGCCAGCTTTGCTGATGTGTCCCAGCAGCCACAGAAACACACAAAACACACAGGCGTGGGCTGAGACGAACATCGTCAGTTCTGGGGGAGAGTGGGAGCCATGTGCTGGCCGAGGGGCTTCGCTCAGCGTCCTCCGTGGGCTGTCGGGAAGGGATGGGTGCCCACCACACTCCCGGCACCTGAGCTCCCCACCCGGGGCCGAGCTCTGCAGCCTTGGACCACTCTGGGCCTGTTTCCCGTTTATAAAATAGGGGTGATGATGCCATTTACCTCACAGAGTTTCGTGGCGGGGCTAACCCGGGAGCCCCTCCCAAACCAAGGTAAGACATCCTGCTTGAGGCAGGTGACGGCCCCTGGGGGTGGGGTGAGGGCTCCCACTGCTCCCAGCCACTGACTTCCACTTAAAACAGAAAACGGAGTTGGGGGTCACTTGCTGTTGGGGTACAGCGTGGACGTGCGCTGTGGTCGGGGCCAGGCCTGGAGCAGCCTGGGGAGGCCCGACAGCTCGGCACAGTGGGGTCCATGGGTTCGCGTTTCCGACGCAGTGGCGCTTTGCTTGGTGAACGTCACCGGACACCTCCGGGCTTCCGGTCTGGGACCGCGGTGCTGGCCGATGCCCGCAAGGCACAGCCCCGGGGCGGCACGGAAGGAAGACGCCGACCACCTGTTCCTCTTTCTAAGTAGGTATATTTTTAAATAACTTTCAAGGTACACATATTTTTTCCTTTAAAAAAACGTCTCTCAGAGCAGTTTTGTTCTGTTTTGCTGGTCACCCTCCTGGTCCCGAGCCCCCCGCACTCAGGGTGGGGGCTGGTGGCCGGGTCGGTGGGCCGAGCCCCTGGCCAGGCGGCTCACCCCGTCTTTCCACAGATCATGCAGGGCTGCGTGTGAGCTAACGTCCGTTTATTTCAAAGCAATAATAATTTAAAATTATAAAAACCTTTCTGCTGTTGAACACGTAGAGGACGAGGTTAGAGACACATGGGACAAGGAGGCCGGGAACGCCCGGGGCGACGCGTGCCCTGCACCCCTCTGGCCTGGCCCGTGCGGACGTCCCTGGGGCGCCAGCTTCTTCCGCAGCCCAGAGCGGTGGGTCCTCCGAGCCTCTGCCCGGCCGGGGCGCAGCGCCCCGGAGTCCGCGGAAGCAGAGGCAGGTGGGGCACCTCCGGGCACCTGACGTTGCGTCCCCGTGCCAGCGAGGCCTGGTGCTGGGCGGGGTCCTGTGCTCTCTGGGGACCGGCGGGGACTCAGGAGTTGCTTGCTGGGTTTTCATTGCTGGGCGAGCTGGAGGAGGACGAGGACGAGGACGAGGAGAAGGTCACCCCGGTCAGGCCCGGGGGGTTGGTGGCTGTGTTCTGTCCTGTGAGGCTCTTACGGCAGACGGGGCAGCTGTCGTGCTTTGCGGGGACAGAAGGGGAGAAGGGAGCAGTTCAGAGGCCAGCAGGGTGGGAAAGACGTGGCTCTGACTCGCTGCCCGCCCGCCCGCTCACCTGCTCCAGCCAGGGCACGATGCAGCCGTCGTGGAACAGGTGGTTGCAGGGCAGCTGCCGCACGCGCTCGCCCAGCCCGTAGTCGTCCTTGCACACGGGGCACTCCAGCCCAGAGCCTGTGGGAGCGGGGAGCCCCTGTGACACCCCCAACCAAAGGTGTCCCATTGGGGAGTCTGCCCGTCGGGCCACCTTGGACCCAGGGGAGAAAGAGGCTGTGTGTCCCAAGTCCTGTGTCCCAGGGGATCAGAGGAGGCATGACAAAGCCTCCCCTTCAGCAGACCATGGGTCCAACGGCAAAGTCCCCAGGGGAAGTATCATGAAAAGCAAAGGAACTGGGTGACCGAGGGCCTCGTACCTACGTGCTCCTCGGTGACAGGGACGGTGGGGAGGGCCTGGATTTTCTCTTTGTCTGCGGGCGGGGGGCCCGTGTTTTCGAACTGATTGAGGAGCTGAAAGGCAAGAGGCCAGAGCACGGGCGCTCGCCCGCCAGGCTCCGAGACGCACGGCCAGCTGCCTACAAAAGCGCCCAGGCCGCGCTCGTCCTGGGCCCAGACCCCCCGCTGGGGATCGGAGGTCAGTCACCCCACGAGGTCCAGCCACAGGCTCTTGCCTGCTCTTCTGCTTGTCTAGTCAGTGTCACCTCAAAGCCAAGGCGAGAGAGCAGGGCCCTGGGGACAGCAGAGCCCTCCCAGGGCCGAGGGTCCCCCCCGAGGGGCTCGTGTGGGCCCGTGAGGCAGCAGCTAGAGCCAGAGGGCCAGTCCCACCGGACAAAACACTCCAAGGGCTCGCTGGCGAGTGGCCTCGGAGGTGGCAGCCTTCTCGCCTCACAGGTGTCAGGTCGCAGTGAACACCCACGCCCAGACAGGCTGGGAGAACGTGGACACCCAGAGGGACAAAGCTGGGACCCAAAGTGCCCAGTGGGCGGCTCCCTGCTCCACGGCGTCGGTGCCAGGGGACAGAGCTGGCTGGCACGCCCCAGCCTCAGGACGGGAGGCACGGGGAGCTGGGAGTGGAGTGTCCACGCCAGGGACACGCTCCGCAGGCCTCTCCGTGCTCTGGGAGCACAGGCCTGTTGGGCTCCTCGGCCCATCAGAAGGAAAGATGGCGAGGCCCCCCGTGCCCGCCTGGGGAGGCCCACGCCCGTACCTGCGTGATGATGGCATCCAGCCCGTTGGCCCCCCAGGCGTAGTCCATCGGGTTGGAGTGCAGGACACCCCTGGGCAAAGACATGTGGGGTTCAGGTGGCGGAGGGGCTGCGCAGGGCTCGGGGGACCTGCCCCACCTACTCACCAGGGACCCAGGCCTAGATTGGGGATGGTAGCCGGAGTGATGATGCCGTTGACCAGCTGCTGGATGATCCTGGAACAGCAAGGCCGGGCTGTAGTCAGCAGCCCCCGCACTGGGGCCATCCCAGGAGGACGCACAGGGACCGTCAGCCCAGCTTCTCAAGTGATAGCACTGAAAGGCTGTGCTTTCAAACACAGGACTCGCGACAAGAGGGACCCAGAGCAGCGCCTCGGTCCCGAGTTCCAGGCCAGGTCCCCCCAAGGCCTGGAGAGCACCCACACGCACGTCACCATGTCCAATCCCCACTTTACGACCGGGGACTGACTGTCCCAGAGATCAGGAGGCACGGGGTCAGTGCAGTGTCCAGTCCAGCTCAGAGGCAGTTGAGGGGCCTAGCCCACCCCTCCGGATGAGGCAGGACCCAGTAGGAGCCTTTAGCTTTTGTCCTGTCCTTCCGAGCACACAGGAGGGGCTGCGGCTCCACCACAGGGCAGGGACGCCCGCTCACTGTCACCATGGGACCAGGACCCAAGGCGAACCACGCCGATGAGACCCCACTCAGAATGATGAGGGACACTCAGTGGACGTGGGGCCCCCGGACACTGCCCAGATCCTTGGGCCACACTCTAGCACCCCCCCACTCCCTGGGCCAAACAGGGCCCCAACCCCCCTCTGCACCCCATCCTGCATGGTAGGCTTAGGTGGCTCTGCTGAAGCTCACAGAGACGGCCCCGCCCAGAGGTGGCGCCCAGGGCTCCCCACCCACAGAGCCTCCTGGCCCGGCCAATGGCCGCTCTGCGCGCGCGGGGGTGGGGCAGGCTGGAAGTCCCGGGGGCGCCCCTCCCCAACCCCGCCCCCTCACCCTTCCAGCGTAGGGACGCCTTCGTGCCGGCCGGTGGCGCGCCGCGGGGTGAGGCGGGCTCGGGGCTGCCGCGCCCCATACCGGTGCCGGGACTGCTGCTCTCTCTCCCGCCGGCTCTCGGGGTCCCTGCCATCATCTGCCGGTGCCCCCGAGGGGAACGTGGGAATCTCAAAGCTGTCATCAAAGATGCCGAAAGCAAACTGCCCGTACCCCTGCGGCAGCGCGAACAGGTGCTGGTCCACGTTCTGTGGGGGGAGGGCCGTGACCACGGGCCCTGGCGTGGGCCGCACGCTTCCTTCCCCCCGCCGCCACCCCAGGCTCAGGACTCCAAGGGTGCAGGGGTGCGGCAGAGCCGACCCGGCGCACGTGTGGGACGCAGGAGGGGAGTTCGGGGCTCCAGGGTCGGGAGGACAGCCCACGCACTGGGGGGTGGGGCCGTGGGAGGCGGCGACTCACCTCGAAGGGCTGCCGGCTCTGGTCCGAGGGCGCTGTGGAGGGGGCGGAGCCATTCTCTGCGCTCCTGTGAGGACCGGGCCAGTCAGCGCCCCGCCCTTCCTCCCCCTGCAGCCCCGGAGACCATTGGCCCGAGCCCCGCCCCACCCCGGGGCCCTCCCAGGCTCTGCCCGCTGAGACGGTGCAGCACCCACCCCAGGCCTCCTGACCCAGCGGCTGCCTGACCTGGTCTCTTCCGGAAGCTCCTCGATGAAACCGGACTCGCATCTCGGGCAGATGTAATCCTGCAGACAAGAGAGGGGTGAGCGGGATCAGGGGTCCCAGCACCCTGTCGGCTGCATCATGGGCTCCCTGGACACTCCTGCCCAGAGCCGGGCATGTCTTCAGCCCCTGCCTCAGGCCACAGATAGCAGCCGAGGACAGCAGTGAGGCCCGCCACGGGCGTCACCTAAAGAAAGCCATCTGTGAAACAGCCTCAGTCCGGGGCTGGACCCAGCAGAGGCCCAGCTGGGTGACCTGGATAGAACTCAGGCGTGGACAGTTGTCACCCACAGCCATAACCTGTGTCTCGACCTGCTCCTCTGTGGGCGATCTCTGCCCGCCCACGCCCCAGAGTCCGTGTGCCTGCACTGAAGAGCCATCGGCTACTGAAGGCTCTAACCAGGACTGCAATAAGCAGGGCAGCTGATGTGAGGCCAGCAAGCTGTCCCCAACTTACAAGGACACGAGAATGTTCTGAGTGACTCCCCCCACACACATAAAGGAGACAGGCCGGGCAGGTGCTGACCCTGTATTCCCGGAGGACCGCATGAGTGACTGTCTGTGAGGCTCTGGGGCTCTCTGCACCTCAGGCAGTTCGGCTCCCAGGAAAGCAGCCACGGAGGGCAAGAGTGCCATCTGGCCAGAGGGACTGGCCTGTGGATGCCCCACATCGGCAGTGTTGGGACACCTGGCAGCCTTGGCACACGGACTGTGACCCCGGGCTTGCAGTGTGACCCCATCCGCACTGGCCACGTCCCCTGCAACGTCGTCCCCCAGGCCCACGGCCGGGGTTGGGGTGGGGCAGACACTGGATGTCCTGAGATGAGGACCCACTCCAGGCACAGCCAAGTATGTGAGCGTGGACACCACATGGCTGTCCCCGAAACAAGGCCAGCCCATATCATGCTCATCGGGGCTCACACAGGTGTCCCCAAAGCCACAGATGAGAGACAAGCCTCGCATGCAAGGCCTGCTTCTGCCCAAGGTGGCATCTCAGAAGCGCAGCCCTCGTGCTGTGTGGGAGAGAAGGTGGGGCTGTTTACAGCCCCAGGTGAGCGCCGCCCCCTGCAGGAGCAGCCGCAGGGCACCGGGCACCTCCATCTGGACAGTAGGTGTCACACGGCGCACGCCAGGTCCCTCACTTGCCCCGCCGCTGGAGCTGAGGCTGCGTGGGGAGAGCAGGGGGAAGCTGCACGGGTCATGGGGCCTCATATCCGGAACACACACAGAATCCTACAGCTCAACAGCACGGAGACAGACAACTCATTCAAAAAAGGGCCAATCGGAATAAACACGTTTTCAAAGACAAACCAACGGCAAGGAGGCCGTGAAGACGCTCGACACCTACAAACACCAGCGAAGTGCAGGTCACAACCAGTGAGACACAGTGCACAGCCGCAGGACGGCCACACGCAGACGACAGTGGCATGTGCTGGTGAGGACGCGGAGGAATCGGAGCCCCCAACACACCGGAGGGAACTGCAGCGGGCGTCTCTGTAACACACTGAGCAGCTCCTCCAAAGGCCACAGTCACCACACGACCCCGCAGTCAGGGCCACTGCTAGGCGCCCACCGAGACAGACGATAATACGTCCACAGAGACCTGTCCATGCACGTCCCCTGCGGCATGATACGTGACAACCACAAGGTGGGGACAAGCCACATCTCCATCCACGGACGAACATGGCCATCCACATGGGGGAGGCGCTGACACTCATCACGACGTGGACGGACCTCGAACACATGACGCTCAGTGAGAGACGCGGACACACAAGGCCACACGGTGTGTGATTCCGCTGATGTGAAACGTCCAGGACAGGCGCGTCCTCAGACAGGAAGTGGGCGAGTGGGTGTCAGGGCGTGGGGATGGGGGGACTGACTGCTGATGGAGATGGGGCTTCTTTTAGGTGATGGAATGTTCCGGAATTAGATCGAGGGGAGGGGTACTGAACACATCAAAGCCATATCTCAATAATTTGGTACAAGAGACGGTGAGGACAGCAGCTCTGCCCACCCAAGAAGAGATGTGAGGGGCGAGGGACAGCTCTGCTGCATGAGTGACCATGAGTCGTCAGGTGTGAGATTCCTGGCAGCTGGTGGGGTGTTGTCCAGGACCCCCATGGCCCCCAACAGCCCTGAGCCTGTTTGCTTCGGGGCTTCCCTGGAGCCAGGGAGGCTCTGTGAGGGGCCCAGAGGGCGACGACGGCCGCAGCCAGGGTGCAGGGAAGGCACGGCAAGGCCAGACAAACCCAACGCAGCTAGGTCGCACAGGCCGGCCTGGGGACCCTCAGCTCAGAGGCTCCCGCCTCGCCCCACACACGGGCCAGGTGGCCCTGCCTGCTAGAAAATGGCCACCTATCTCCCACCGCGAGGGCTCCAGGCCGCCCCGGGCACCCACTGCTCGGCCCACGCAGCCGGTCCCAGCGTCCTCATCCTCCAGGGTCCCCACGTCACCGTCAGCCCCCGTCTCAGCACAGCACACAGTCAGCACGTGGCCAGCTCCAGAACCAGCCGGCCCGCCACTCCGCCCCATCCAGCCCCAGCCAGGCCCATCCAGGCCACCTCCACCTGGCCCTCCCCCGCAGCCCGATGCCGGTCCCACCCGCCCCGGGCCTGCACAGCAGCCCGTCTCCTCTGCCGAGCACTCTTCCCAGATATCTACCTGGCTGGCCCCCTGGCGGAAGCTCGGTCTCTGCTCAAACGTCACCTCCCGGCTGCGAGCCTCTGTCTCCCCACCTGCAAACGGAGCATGGCCTCAACCCCAGGGTCCTGAAATCTGGCAGCCGCGAGGCCCCGAGGGCTGGGGCCCGACAGTGGGCTGCGGTCAGGCCCTGCCTTTGTGCTCCCTGAGGGAGCCCCCACCAAGGCCAGAGCGGCCCTCCTAGGCTGCTTGCCGCCCCGGCCAGGAGGCTGGCTCCAGCTGCGCTGGCAGGCAGTGCGGAAGCGACCGGACCAGGCTCCCCCAAGGCTCTCCTCCCTTGGGTGCACGGCTCAGAGCTTTTACTCAATCACAGTGACCAGCGGTAAAAGCCACAACCCAGCAAGGGGACGTGGGATGGAGCGCACCTCTTCCCCAGGGCAGAGCCCGTCTCCTGTGATGAGGCCCAGGTGGCAACAGCTCCTCCATGTAGAGAGGCAGCCCCCTCACTAGGCCCTAGCTGGTGCACACCCATCCCTAGCCAATGACTGGTCCTGAATTAGTTACTTCTCCCCTCTGATGAGGAGTGGGAAGTAAAGGGACCACCCCCGCGTCATCACCATGGCAACAGCAGAGGCCAGAACCAAGGACAACAGACAGATGCTAAATTCGCTGAGCACGGGCTCCTTGCGCTGGGCCCAAGAGGAGGACCAGGGGGCTGTGACACAGGGCCCAGGTCACCAGAGCCCACTCTCGGGATGAGCATCAGCCTTTACCCAAAAGCTCCTTGACACCACACAGAGGGCTCGGGGCCAGGGGTGCTCGGTGAAGTTGGGGAAACAGGTGGGAGCCGGAGACGGCTGGCCTCAGAGCACTACCTGCTCTGCAGCGACGTTGGCCTCTGTGGCCCAGGCCACTGGGCTCCTCGGGGAGAGGCAGAGCTCCAGGCACAGAACAGACAGGGAGGACTAGTACAGAGCCACATGGGGCACGTGGACTCGGACATGGACGCAGACCGACCCCAGGGGTGCACTCGCTGCTCCCTCTGCCCCGCAAAGCCCTCCTCAGACGTCGCTGGGCAGAGACGCCTGCCCAGACACCGTGGGAAAGCTGACCGTGCACCTCACTGTCCCCCACATTCCACAGTCATGCCCCATATGTCCCCCCAGGGTCTGTGACCGTACGCGTCCTTCTGGATGCTGGGGACCTGGTGTCGTCTGAGGCCTGTTGTGCGTCAGCCACGTATGCATCGCACACACGCTTCAACCCAGGCTGCTTCTGACACTGTCAGAGGAACTGAGCCTCCGTCTCCCACCGGCACGACAGGAGCGCGGGAACCCGCACTCACGGAGGCCTGACCTCTGGACAAGGCTCGGATGTGGGGTGCGGCTGGTCCCCACCCTGGTCCCTGCAGAGCACAGATCCGCCACGTCCCCAGTGCTCATTTCCCAGGAAGGGTCGAGTCTGGGCCTGCGTGCCGCCTCAGGCCTTCGAGCCAGCCGGCCTGTCTGGTCCCTGCTGCCACACGCCGTGCTCCGGCGAGGCTGCCCGCCTTGCTTTGTGCGTTCTGCCCGCCAGGCACTGGGCTCCTCCGCACACGCCCACTCCTACTGGGCCTCATCAGACCCCCCTGACAGACGGGGCCACTGGGGCCCAGCGAGGTCGAGCACCTCGCCCAGAGCCACACAGCTGAGACGTGGGGGCAGTGGGGTGTGGCCTCAGCCTGATCCTCGAACTGAGCCAGCCACCTGTGAGTCCAGGGTGGCTGAGCAGGCGCGACTGCAACAGCCAGGTCCTGTCACAGCAGCACCAGGAGCCGTAGAAACACTAGTGTGCGTGTCTCACAGCAGACGGCGCGGGGCCGGTTTCCCATGAACACGAGTCCCCGTCTCAGGGGCGAGTGCCGGCTGAGACCTTCGCCACTACCAAGTGAGAGCCAACTCTCCTCCCTGGACACCAGGTGTCCCCTTCCTGATAAACACCCTGGCCGCTGGCCTCACTGAATCCCACTCCAAGCGCACAGCGGGCACCTTCCCACCCACCTTGACTCCCCCTCTCCATGATTTGCTCTCACGGTGTTTACCAACATTCTTGACTAAATATTTGACAACCACGTGTTCAAGGCTGGCTCCCTGACTATCCGATAAAAATCTGAGGGCAAAAGTCATGGCCACTCTGTCACCACTAGATTCTGTAACTAGGAAGGTCCTCATCAAACCACTGACTGTCAGAAGAGATCGGGGTTCTTCTGGTCCAAGGCCACATGACCAAGAAGTGGCCACACCAGGCCAGGATCCAGGCTCTGTGCTGGCCCCAGGAAGGGAGGCCCGGAACAGCTAGCTGTGTGGACTGCTCAGCCCTGCCACAGCCACTGCCACAGCCCCG